TCTTCTGTGTTAGGGTGTTCAAGTCCTTCTGTTGTAAGATCATTGGGTTCTGGTGCTTTCATGTTGTTTTTCAGCTTATTGGGAGAATTTTTGCCTTGGCGCCTGCCCATCTCCTCCTATTGATGATCTCTAATTGGTCCTTTAAAACCAGATCAGGTTTCCCTGCTGGCCAGAGGCTCCTCTTGCAAAATTCCCTTGTTCTGTTTCCTGGCTTCTGCCAGGGGCCAAGATCCCTCTCACCCCTCAGATGGGTCTTCAGGAAAAGAACCAGGTTCCCTGTTTGCCAGGGACCTTGCCAACCAAAGGCCTACCTCTTTGATTTAATTGTCCTGGGGCGATCTGCTCTTGGTGTTGCACTGGTCCCTGTTGACTGCGTTGTCTGCCACTGTGTCAATACCCGCTGGTCCCAGCCGCTGCGCCAGCTACGTCGCCCGCCATGCACATCCGGTTCCGGCCGCCGCTGTTGTGCGCGTCCGGTTCCAGCCGCCGCTGGTGCCGTGCACGTCCGGTTCCGGCCGCGGCTGGTGCCGTGCGCGTCCGGTTCCGGCTGCCGCTGGTCTCCACTAAAGTTCTTAACAATTGCATTTTATAAGAAAAGAGGCTTCTGTGCATAGAAAGCACTGCAGAGCTATAAATGGTTAAATTACGTTGAGTTTATCACCTAGCAAACTTTTGCAAAACCACTTTTCCATAGAAAAATGTATACTATTTGGATAAAATATTATACAGCACTATATAAAACATACAGTATATCCCTAATTGGATTTGCAAACATTTGAATGTTCAAGCACAGGACATAGCAGCTCATAATAGAATACTTAGTAGCTATAATCCTAAAATTTGGGAAATTATAAATTAAGGATACATGAAATAAAGCTACTTAAAATTCCTGGAGTATCTATTTCCCCATTAACAAAAGATTGAATATGGAAAACGTTGTGGAAAATTGGAGTTTTAACAAAGACTGTTGATCTCGAGGCGAATGGTCTGGAACGGTGTACAGGGCCCCTCCAGCTCCTGCTGCAGAGGCTTCTTTGTTCCTCATGACCCTGCTCTCCCCCATGTTCAACCTTTTGTCTGCGGGGTCTTTGGACTACCACAAGTTCCTGTGCTGCAGAGTTCCATCCAGATGGGTGAGTATGTTCCACATGACCCTGCTCTCCCCCCAAATTTGCCCTTTGGTCTGCAGGGTCCTTGAAATATCACGAGTTCCTGTTCCTGTGCTGAGGAGCTCCATTCAGATGGGTGAGTGAGTACCATCCCAGGTGGACTGTTCCACATGACCCTGCCTCCCCCAAGCCTGCCCTATTGTCTGCGAGGTCTTTGGCCCAGGAACAGTTCCTGCTCCTGCACTGAGGAGATCCACCCAGAGAGCCAGTCACAGCAAAGATTGGACCAAGACGCCAAGAGTCTCCTGGCTGCATTTGAAGGAAGAGATGTTCAGGCTTCAATGTAGGAATTCCTAAAACAACCTGAAAGGCAACATGACAACACCAGAATCTAGGGATCATACAACAAGAATACTTGAACACCCTATTTCAGAAGAAGTAGAATAAATCGACTTTAAACGTAACATTATGAAAATAATAGAGGACCTTAAACAAGATGTGAAAATATGCTTTAAAGAAATGGAGATGAACAAAAGGTAGAAGAAATGAATAAATCTCTCAAAGATACCCAAGAAAACTAAGAAAAAGCAATCAAACAGGTAATGGAAACAGGTCAAGACTTGAAAAATGAAATGGATTACCTCACTCAGGATAGTGTTTTCTATTTCCATCCATTTGCATGCAAACTTCAAGAAGTCCTTGTTTTTTACTGCTGAGTCGTACTCCAATATGTATATATTCCATACTTTCTTCATCCATTCTTCCATTGAAGGGCATTTAGGTTGTTTCCAGGTTCTGGCTATTACAAACAATGCTGTTATGAACATAGTTGAGCATATACTTTTGTTGTATGATAGGGCTTCTCTTGGGTATATTCCCATGAGTGGTATTGCTTGGTCCATGGGTAGGTTGATCCCGAATTTCCTGAGAAACCGCCACACTGCTTTCCATAGTGGTTGCACAATTTTGCATTCCCACCAGCAATGGATGAGTGTACCCCTTTCTCCACAACCTCTCCAGCAAAGGCTATCATTGGTGTTTTTGATTTTCGCCATTCTGACAGGTGTAAGATGGTATCTTAAAGTTGTCTTGATTTGGAAATAGAAAACACTATCCTGAGTGAGGTAAGCCAGACCCAAAAAGAGGAACATGGGATTTACTCACTCATATTTGGTTTCTAGCCATAAGTAAAGGACACTGAGCCTATAATTCGTGATCCTAGAGAAGCTAAATAAGAAGGTGAACCCAAAGAAAAACATATAGACATCCTCCTGGATATTAACCTCCAGCAGGCGATGAAAGGAGACAAAGACAGAGTCCCACATTGGAGCACCAGACTACAACTCCAAGGTCCAAATCAGGAGCAGAAGGAGAGAGAGCATGAGCAAGGAACTCAGGTTCTTGAGGGGTGCATCCACACACTGAGACAATGGGGATGTTCTTTTGGGAACTCACCAAGGCCAGCTTGACTGGGTCTGAAAAAGCATGGGATAAAACCGGACTCACTGAACATAGTGGACAATGAGGACTGCTGAGAAGTCAAGAACCATGGCACTGGGTTTTGATCCTACTGCACATACTGGTTTTGTGGGAGCCTAGGCTGTTTGGATGTTCACCTTACTAGACCTGGAAGGAGGTGGGAGGTCCTTGGACATAATCAGTAACAAAGCAAACATCCATAGATACAAAGAAATTGTAGTAACCACCTGTGTACTATTGGATTACCATGGAATAACATTAGAATTCAACAACAATTCTACCCCGAGAAAGCCTAAAAAACTCATGGAAACTGAACAGTCAACTACTGAACTACCCCTGGGTCAAAGACGAAATAAAGAAAGAAATTAAAGTCTTCCTCGAATTCAACGAAAATAAAGACACTACATACCTATGGGACACTATGAAAGCAGTGGTAAGAGGAAAGTTCATAGCACTAAGTGCCCACATAAAGAAAACGGTGAAAGCTCACATTAGAGACTGAACGGCACACCTGAAAGCTCTAGAGAAAAGAAGAAGAAGCAGACTTACCCAGGAGGAGTAGAAGATTGGAAATAATCAAACTGGGGGCTGAAATCAACAAAATAGAAACACAGAAAACAATCCAAAGAATCAATGAAACAAAGAGCTGGTTTTTGGAGAAAATCAACAAGGTTGATAAACCCCTATCCAAACTAATCAAACAGCAGAGAGAAAACACACAAATTAACAAGATCAGAAATGAAAAGGAGGACATAACCACAAACACAGAGGAAATTCAGAGAATCATTAGATCTTACTACAAGAGCCTGTATGCCACAAAATTGGAAAATGTGAAAGAAATGGACATTTTGTATGGATAAGTACCATGTACCAAAATTAAATCAAAACTGGGTGAATAATTTAAATATACCTGTAAGTCACAAGGAATTAGAAGCTGTCATCAAAAACCTCCCTACAAAAAAAAAAAAAAAAAAAAAAAAAAAAAAAAAAAAAAACCCCCTAAAACCTAAAAAATAATAAAAAAAAAAAAAAAAAAAAAAAAGCCCAGGACCTGATGGTTTCAATGCGGAATTCTACCAGAACTTCCAAGAAGAGCTAATACCTATACTCCTTAATGTGTTTCACAATATAGAAACAGAAGAGTCATTGACAAACTCTTTTTATGAAGCTACAGTTACCCTGATACCAAAACCACGCAAAGACTCAACCAAGAAAGATAATTACAGGCCAGTCTCACTCATGAACATCAATGCAAAAAATCTCAATAAAATACTGGCAAACTAAATCCAAGAACATATCCAAAAAATTATCCCTTATGATCAAGTAGGCTTCATCCTAGAAATGCAGAGCTTGTTCAACATACAAAAATCTATCAATGTAATCCATCATATAAATAATCTGAAAGAAAAAAAAACATGATCGTTTCATTAGATGCTGAAAAAGCATTTGACAAAATTCAACACCCCTTTATGATAAAGGTCTTGGAGAGATTAGGGATACAAGGTTCATCCCTAAATATAATAAAAGCAATATACAGTAAACTGACAGCTAATATCAAATTAAATGGAGAGAAACTTAAAGCCATTCCACTAAAATCAGGAACAAGACAAAGCTGTCAACTCCACACCTCTTCAATATAGTGCTTGAAGTTCTAGCAATAGCAATAAGACAACATAAGGAGATCAAGGGAATTTGAATTGGAAAGGGAGAAGTCAAACTTTTGTTATTTGCAGTTGATATGATAGTGTACATAGCGACCCCAAAAACTATACCAAAGAATTCCTACAGCTGGTTAACGTGTGGCAGCATCCAAGATCAACTCCAAAAAATCAGTTGCCCTCCAATACACAAAGAACAAAGAAGCAAAGAGGGAAATCAGAAAAACATCATTTTTCACAATAGCCACAAATAGCATAAAGTACCTTGGGGTAACTCTAACCAAGGAAGTGAAAGATGTATCTGACAAGAACTTTAAGTCTTTGAAGAAAGAAATTGAAGAGGATACCAGAAAATGGAAGGATCTCCCATACTGTTGGATTAGGAGGATCAACATAGTAAAAATGGCAATTCTACCAAAAGCAATCTATAGATTCAATGCAATCCCCATCAAAATCCCAACAAAATTCTTCACAGACCTAGAGAACAATAATCAACTTTATATGAAAAAAAAACCCAGGATAGCCAATATAATCCTATACAATAAAAGTACTTCTGGGGGTAGGGTGGGGATAAGGGGAGATGGGGAGAGAGAAGAGAGAAGGGGAGGATGGGAAGAGCTTGAAGGATTGGAATGGTTGGGATGGAGGAGGGGTGGATGTGGGAGCAGGGAAGTAGATATCTTAATTAAGGGAGCCATTTTAGGGTTTGCAAGAGACTTAGCTCTGGAGGCGTTCCCAGGTGTCCAAGGAGATGTCCCCAGCTTGTTCCTTGGGCAGAAGAGGAGAGGGTGCCTGAACTGGCCTTATCCCATCGCCACACTGATGACTATCTTGCATATCACCATAGAATCTTCATCCAGTGATGGATCTAGATAGAAACAGAGACCCACACTGGAGCACTGGACTGAGCTTCCAAGGTCCAGATGAAGAGTAAAAGGAGGGATAGCATGAGCTAGGAAGTCAGGACCGCAAGGGGTGCATCCACCCACTGAGACGGTGGGACTGATCTAATGGGAGCTCACCAAGGCCAGCTGGACTGGGACTGATGGAGCATTTGATCAAACCGGACTCTCTGAATGTGGCTGACAATGAGTGATGACTGAGAAGCCAAGGACAATGGCACTGGGGTTTTGATTCTACTGCGTGTACTGACTTTTTGGGAGCCTAGTCTCTTTGGATGCTCACCTTCCTAGACCTGGACGGAGGGGGGAGGGCCTTGGACTTCCCACAGGGCAGGACACCCTGACTTCTTTTAGGACTGGAGAGGGAGGGGGGAAAGTGGGGGGGGATTTGGAGGGAAATGGGAGGAAGGGAGGAGGTGGAAATTTTTAAGAAAGAAAGAAAGAAAGAAAGAAAGAAAGAAAGAAAGAAAGAAAGAAAGAAAGAAAGAAAGGGAAGAAGAAAGACTGTCATACAAAAAAAGGGAAGGTTGCTAGTCATAAATTTTATGGCATTGCAGACGATTGCTGAGTGTTCTCTCTCATAATCTGTATTTATAAAGCTAATGATTTATGTAAACTTAATCCCTAATTAAACAAAAACAGTATTAGGTCATTAATCTATTATACCAAATAATCTGTGTTAAAGTGACCAAGCCAATTTTTAAAAAATACAATAATCAATACAAACTTAGCAATTTTTCTGACTTACTGTTTGCTTTATCGTAAATACTCAGCTTTCAGCTTGCCCCTTTGTTCTTCCCATTTGACTCTTAAAATTTGCTATAAAGGAAGAAGGAACTGCCTGTGAATGCCCTTTGAGTTTGCAGCATTTCAAGTTTGATTGCAACTCACGATGAATGCAAAAAAGTTTAAGAACTTCATATCTGCCCATATTTCCATAAAACATTAATACTAAAATGACAGTATATAATTATTCAAAAACTTGGCTTATTTTCTTATAAACCATCATCTTATTGTGAAAAGATAAGGTAATGGTGAGACAAAGAAGGAAACATGACTACATATAAAATACTATTTCAACTTCATTTCAATTTATGCTGATTTTTAAAACCAACCATCTTTGTCTTTTGTCTTTGAAATTAAAGAAGTACAAGTGGTGCACAAAGACATGTCAGAATCTCTGCTCACGTATTTGAAGAGGAAGTAAGACCTTAGAACCACGTTCTGAAGAGAATGACTAGACAGGAAGAATGCTGGGTGAGAATTTGTTTTATATCGAAAAAGGAACTGTGGATCTCCATCACTCTTCAGGTATAGAGGGTGTTTCTCCAGTTGAGCAAATAAATGGAGACCGAGACAGAAGATGAGGCGTTTGTAAAAATTTACAGGACTAGAGAATCAGGTATTGTTTTTATTCTGCTATCTGCACAATCAGTCATTATTTTTACCACATTGTCCTATGAATTAGGCACATTTGTGCCTCCTCATATGCTGAGACTTTCTTCCATAATTTTGTTCCACGTTAATAAGAGGCCATTGCCAAGATTTTGTGTTTAGGAGTCCGTCAAAACCATTTAGACATTTTAGTGCTCTCCTACAAACACATCACTCCTCTGGAATTTAGTATTTGTCTTTCATAACTCACTGTTTATTTTTCTCACATGAGTGAATATTGCTGCCAAAGAAAGCAAAACCAGCACTACTGCTTACATACAGTTCAAGTAGGAACCTCACTACCATTTGAAGTTAATAGGATTGCTCACAGTTCAAACAGGATATTTAACAGCATAGAAAAGCTAGTAGGATTTCTTAGACCTCATATGTTCATGTTATCCATAACCCTGAATGCACTGATGTTTGGATGCCTTAGTTATTTTTCTACTGCTGTGAATAAGGAAACTTATAGAAGATAGAATTTATTGGGGGACTTGCTTACACTTTCAGAGGGTTAGAGTAAATGATCGTCATCAAGGCAGGAAAAGTGGCAGAAAGCGGGCAGACATGACCCTGAAGTAGTAGCTGGAGTGTACATCTGATCCACAAGCCTAAGACTGAGATCTCTGAGAGTAAAGCATGGAGAGAGAGACAGAGACACAGAGACACAGAGAGAGACAGAGAGAGAGGAAGGAGGATGGAGAGAGAATAATAGGAACTATATGGATTTAGAAACCTGAAAGCCGACCCCCACACATCCTCCAGTAAGGCCACACCTTCTAATCCTTCTCAAGTAGTTCTAGCAACTGGGGACTAAGCATTCAAATATTTGAGTGTATGGCATCATTCCCATTAAATCTGCCACATTGGATGACCTAAAAATGACCTCACAGGGAATTTGGCTGTTTTCTAACCACAACCAGAAGTATTAGCTTTGCTGCCATCTCTAGAACTCAACTTCATTTTGAACTCCAGCATCAGAATATACTACTTTCTTTTTCCTTAAAGCTATGTCAAGAAAACAATCAGTAGTCCCTCTCGTTTGTGTTACCTATCTCATAATTATACCAGGATTTGTGCTTAAGAAGCGTCCAGGTAGCATACTCTTAGAAACCTAGGACCGAGATGCTGAAGCAGACCAGTCATGAATTTGAGGTAACCTTTTACAAAAAAATCATGTATTTGTTTTGTGATTAATCCTAAACAGGAAAAGATAATTCAATAAAAACTCAGAGATGAAAACTGAAGTTCAACTCAAAAATCAGAAAAGCAAAGCAACCAAGATACTAGAGAAGTCTTACCTTTTTCAAGGCTGGGCAACCACAGACTAAGCCTCTCTTTCCTCCCATTCTATATTCCCTCTAGTGCTGGGATTAAAGATGTGTGACTCCCTAGCATGGGGATTAAAGATGCGAGCCACCACCCTCTGGATTTGTTTCTGCATTGATTACCTATATACAGAGATCCAACTGACTCTGCTCCCAATGTATTAAAGGCATGTGACACCATTACCTGACCTCTAGTGGCTTTAACTTTGCCTCTGGTCTTCAGTATCTGTGTTATTTTTTCTTGTATCTGGAAGAAATAGTTAGAACCAAAAAATCAGATAAGCTTGCATTTTTCAGTAATCAATTTCATAATCAAATCCAGAATTTTCAGTTATTCAACCAAATTATTTGGGAAATTAAATTAATGTAAAGGCAAATGAGTACCTACGTGTGCTCAGAACAAGGCCGTGTGAGATGTGAATGAAAAGTAGTGACACTCATAATAACAACTGATATTTTTGTCATTTTGTCAAGGGTTTTTCTGATACCATAAAAGAGTCAAAAACAGCATTGTGATATAATTATGTGTTTATTTATGGAAACCTCCAGTTACTTTCCTTTCCCCCATACAAAATCAAGAAGTTTCATAGGTTAGCAGCATTCTGTCATTAAAAATTTCACTAATTTAAATACCCACTTATACAATAGCTAAAACTTCAAACTCACACAAAAAGAAAACATTCTCCCCCAACTTGAGCCCACTTACACTGAGAAGAGTTAAGTAGTGAGGCATTTTTCAACTTCCTTACTAGGCTGCATGGTTCAGTAAGGGGAAGGATCCCAAGGGAGGAGAGAGTAGGAAACAGCAGGAGAGAGCTGTCAGAGGCCAGTAATCCCTCAGTGACAGAAAGAAATCCTCTGCTTCAAGGGAGAGAAAATACATGCCATCTTCTTGAAGATTCACTCTCATGGACTGTGGACTTTTCATACCACTAAGTCTTCTTTTCCTCTGCCAAATGTCTTCCACTCATTTTTCTACTTCCTCAATTGCCGCAGCCCCCATATTCCCTGTGAAGCCAAGTCCTTGGAAATCATCAACTGCTGGATTTATGCATGCTTCCCCCAGTACAATGAATCTCACTCTCAGTGCAGCATTCCAACCTTCTGTGTTCAAGCAGAGAAATCTCAGTTTCTTCTCTTTTCAGACATTGCAAACATTAGTCTCCTGAAATCCAAAGAACAGCATCAGGGCTAATTAATGGATACCTGAAAAGTTTCCAACTGCATGAACAATGAAACTTCTTTGTTGTTGCTGCTCTGAGGCAAAGGGCTTAACTCTATTTTTTCCAATGGGGTCTCCTGCAGCCCCCCTCCTGGTCCAGCTGTTGACCCCCTGGAGTGCAGTTGTTGCAATTCTGAAGCCCTGGCATTCCTGTCCTGGGCACTCCAGATTCTTGGGGCTTTCAAAGGACTTCACAGCAAGTAATAGGCGCCTTCAGAACTTGAACCTATTGTCCTATGCCAACCTATCCTTGAGCTAGTGGAATATTGTAGGAGACTGTATTCACACCTTCCTATCAGGTTTTAATTCTGTGTCAACACACTTCATACTTCCTGTCCTTCCCAAGACCTTTAGGTGACTCAGATTTTTGAGTTTTTCTATTTTTTTTTATTTTTATTTTTATTTTTTTATGATTGTGGTTTTTGGTTTGGTTTTTTTATTTGTTTTTTTTTATGGTTGTGGTTTTTGGTTTGGTTTTTTTATTTGTTTTTTAACTCTTTTCTGACACATTCCATTCACCAGATTTTTATTTATTATTATTCTCTCGTACATTATAACAAATGACTGCCTCTTTCCACCCCTGTCAGCCCTTATCCCTTCCTACTTCCTCTGTTTCCTAGATACACTGCTCCTTCCATTTTCCTTCAGAAAAGAGCAGGCCTCACAGGAATAGCATATGAACACAACAGGTTAAAGTAAGATTACGCACAAACCCTCAGCATGAGGCAACCCAGTAAGGATGAAAGGGGTCCCGGGAGCAGGCAAAAATTTCGGAGATACCCTCTCTTCCATGGTTAGGAGTCCCAAAAGAACACCCAGCTACATAAACACTGTATGTAGCAAAGGACCTAGAACAGATCCATGCAGGCTCCGTGATTGTTGTTTCAGTCTCTGTGAGCCCCTATGAGCCCTGTTTAGTTGATTCAGTGGGCCAAGTTCTCCGCATGTCCTAGACCACTGTGGCTCCTACAATCCTTCCTCCACCTCTTCAGTAGGATTCTCTGAGCTCTGCCTAATGTTTGACTGTAGGTCTTGTACATCTGCTTTCATCAGCTGGTGGATAAAGCCTCTCTGATGATGAGTGGGCTAAGCACCAAACTATGAGTACAGGAAAAACAGCTAGACATCATTACATTGACTTTTTTTTTTCTTTCTTTCTTTTTTTTTTTTTTTTTTTTTTTGCCAGTCATATTTGGATCAATCATAGTTCTCTGGGCTATCCAGCCTCCAGTTCCTGATCATCCATGCAGTGTCAGTCACCAGTCACAAGTTGGACCAGTCATTGGTTGCCACTCCCACAAGTTCTGTACCACCTTTACACCAGTGCATCCTGCAGGCAGGACAATTGTAGGTCAAAGGTTTCATGGCTGGGTTAGTGTCCCAGTCCCACCACTGGACTCTGCCCCAGTTTGCTTCCACTGTGCAACGTAGTCCCTCAAATGCCACCAAATTCCAGTTGTCTCTCCCAGAACCCTCTACTTATAGATACTATAGCCAATCCAGCACATTCTGCTGTTTTGTCTTCTCTCTCTCTTTCCCCCTCTCTCCCTCTCTCTTCCCCCTCTCATCTACTTTCTGTTTTATTTTCTGTCTTCTGTCTTTTCTCTCTTGACCATTCATTCTTAGTTACTTATAACAATGATGTGCTGAGTAATCCAACATTATTTCACTGATAAATAATACTTTAAAAACTGAATTATTTAAAATCACTTGAGAAATTCTTTTATATCTGGGACATTTCTTTACAACCTTTTCAAGTGGCAAAGACAGATCAAATATGAACACCATAGCTCTACAAACATAGGTGCCAAAGTCATGGTTTCTTTTGTATTTATTTCAATACACTTTTCTGATATTTTTTCTTTATAGTCCATAGCATGCAATAAGCAGACCCATTTTAAGCTTTTGAGATCTATCATCCACTGAACTTAAGGCCAGGTTTCTTATGTGCAACTACAGGTTAACTGAGGCCAAGAAGCTGTGAAGGAGTCTATAGTAAACACTATAGCTCACCCTTTACTGTTAGACCTCCATGAACTGCCAGTTCTTCTATGGTAGCATCATCTGCCTTTCACTGTTTAACATCACCAATCTAGTGGTCTGTGCAGCTATGCAGAAATACCTGTTTCTTCACATTAAACATAATTCACTGTTTCCTCTAAGGAAGAGAGATAAGAGTGATTTTCACAGGGCTATGCTTTATTTCCCTATATTTTTCAAATTGAAAGCAGTGACATGCATGATAATTTGTTTACTGAAATTTTGTGTTTTTTTTTTTCTTTCTCCAACTAATATATGTGAAATGGACTTCAGGGAAACTATAAGATTAATTGCATATATACGAGGAAATAGAGACACTTATCATGAGAATGAAGGCTGATCATCCAAAAGGTAAATACAGGATTAAATCTTAACAAAAATAGAAAAGATGGCATACTACTGTGTTACAAAGGGTTAGGGACCATCTTGTATAAAATCAGTTTAATTAAAAGATGTTATTGAATTAAATTATGAAATAACTTACTTTGTGATAAAAATCTAATGCCACCCTTAGTTCTCTAATTGTGGAGAAAACACTGTGCAAAAGCAATTGTGCTAAATGTATCCACACACTTGCTTCAAGATTAGCCTACCCATCGTATCGTTATGCATGTGGAGTGGCTGTTAATTAGCCTAAGTAAAAGTATTGAACAGAGGTTACAAGACCCTCCCCACAAGCTGCACTGTGCTTGCAGCCCTGATTTTTGTTTCTTCTACAGGAATCCTGAGAATGGTTACTTCCCTTCCAGTGACTTTTTTTTGCAAACCATGAATTCTTACTGTGGTTTTCACTTTGCAAATCCAAGCACTTTCATATCTAATTCCTCTTGTTTTTTTTTTTTTTTTTTTTTTTTTTTCCCTCACACAAGTCTGAAATAAGTAGGTAAAGATATAGTCTTCCTCTTTGGGTTTTTTGGACAAAGCACACTTTGGTAGAATGCATGTGTACCACACACACAAAGCAATAGATTTTATCTCTGGAGATGTAAGGTGGGAAGATCAGAAGTTCAAGAGCACCCTTGGCTATATGTCAAGTGGGACACCAGTCTGGATATGATGAAATCATTCTAGAAAGAAAAACAGATCTATACATGTAAATTTCTCGATGGTTAGCATACAAAAGAGCAAAGAGACTGCCTTTGGTCATATGCTCTTTCTATTTGCCAATTGTAGTTAAAGATCTACAGACAACGAAGGAATGCTAAGAGCAGGAGAAATTATCTTCCCCAAGAAAAAGCACACCAGTTTGTTATATAATACAAGTGGTCAGCACTGGAAACATACATATAAGTAACATAGAGACTGAACTGGCTGTACTTATATATTTAGAAAAATAGACATTTTGTAATTATCACACATGTATATAACAACAAATAAAAAGATATGAATCTGAAAGAGGGAAAGGCAGAGGTTATAGGAGAGGGTGAAGGAAGCAATGTGAAGGTGGGAATGGGGCAATTATACAGTAACCTCAAACAAAATTTTAAATGTATTTAAAAAGAAATTTAAGGAAGTGAAAAGATTATTAGCATCTGTTGTGTGCCTGTCACACATCTTCTGTATAAAATAGACCTTAATGGGCACACTGAAAAGATAGAAAGAAGTCTTCCGTCTTCTTATTTGGCCATATATTCAAATGAAGTCACCTTTTTTGTTTGCACTTTTCACCCCAGACTTAGTGGACATTATGTGAGGTGAGCAGTAGTTGGGTCCAGTAACTGTGTTGATTAAAACAGAGTCAAAAGAGAAGACAGAAGAATATGTTCTTCTGAGGGTACAATATAATGTATTTCCAAATAACTTCAGGAATATTAAAACATTTACCATATTAATTAGAAATCCAAGAAAGTTTGAAAGTAGTTCTTTTAAGATGCCAGTTATAGAAGCAGTTGACTGGGGAAATTGATAAATACAAGGAATATGTATTAGTAAGGGGAAGAACAGAAATTTAAAGTCTTGGCTTCTCCTAAAAGTGAAATCAAGAGGACTTGTTGAGATGGATATGTTGAAGTGTCTCTCTTAGAATTTTGCTTTTCTTCAGACAAGATGAGAAAAGATGGGGAAAGAAAATGAGGAGCTTCACCTTGAAATGACTGAACAATTGATTAATGACCTATAGAACTGATGAGGAGCTAATTAATCAAACAACTAGAAGGGTCTTTGAACTTTAGAACTACATTTTGTATCCAAGACTACCCAATGTAACCTTTTCTTGATCATATTTTGATACATTGCAATTAGTTGGTGAAAATCATGTCTGACAATATCTACAGAGTTGATATGGGTTACAGCAAACATGCTAACTGCCAAAGTGTAATGATAATAAAATTCTCTACTGAGGGCCTGAAGTAATGGATGTAGAAATTGAAATATGCCTTTTGAAAGGGCTGTGAGGGGGTTGTGTGAATAGATGATGTATATGTATACTTAATAATCACTGATTAGTGCAGTAGAATGTATGCCAACAAATGGTAGTCTCCTATGTGGTTCTCACAGCCTTCCCCTAACATTTACAAACACTCTCATACCTCAACATCTCTTAGTTGATGAATTGTGTGTACATATCTAAAAAATACATATGTATATGTATATATAGAAACCACCTGAATTCATTTAAAAATAGGAGTGACTGGGTTTCAACTTGAGATACTGATTTTTTTGCATGAGGTTCTATAACGGTTATAAAAGATCACTATATGATTTCAGTGTGCTGCCAGAGTTGAATATAATGGGCTAAGGACTATGACTTTAAAGATATAGAAGTTCAGTCTAAAGAGTAAGCAATAATTGGATATTACAAGAAGTAGTATGTATGCTTTTATTCTTATCATTCATAGATTTTTAAATCTAAATTTTAGTTAGAAAGTTAATATTACATGTTTATTTCATTTTGACAAAACACAACTATATTTAGTATATAATTAAGCAAGGTGTATGTATGTAAAGTTTAACATAAAAAGGTTTCTATCATTCTTCCTTTCAATAGTATAATATAAATATGTAATAACAAAAGTATGTTAATATATGGAAATGAGATTTCATAATGTCTTAGCTCACATGCTATAAAAAGTCCCAGTGAATTAAGGAATTTGTCAGTTTCTGATAAAAGAATTATATATAGACTACATAAAGAACGCTTACAGCAATAATTTTAACAGTGACAGAAGTTAACAAACACTATATATTTTGCTACAGAAGTATATATGGGTGATATATTAAAACAATATTAGAATATGAAAATTAAGCTGGAATGAGACACAACTAAACATACATTAGAATGATGCAAATCTAAAAGGTGGAAATATATACATGTGGTGAAGATCTAGAGGTATGAAGATCTCTCACATGAGGCCCCAGAAAGTGTGAAGTGGTACATGTACTTTGTAATGTTATTTTAGCATTGTCTTGGAAAGATGCATATGAAGCTGTCAGGTGAGCCAAACATTCTACATTTCTACATATAAGAAAAAGAAAGCATGACCAATACCATTCATGATTATTCATAACAGCATTTTTTTTTTTTGTAACAGCTAAAAGTAGAAATGGTCAACTAGTTGTGAACAGGTATATGAGTAAATAAATTGCATATGAGGAATGGAATCTCTACAAAGAGAAGGAAGGAGCTTTTCTGATACTCATAATACCATGGATGGATTTCAGCACAAGTACGTTGTACTGAAAGAAGTTAGGTGAAGGCGTAAGTCACGAACAATGCTACACCAGTTTGGAGTTATGATTAATAGGGTGTTATTTATCTAAAGGGGAAAAAACTTACAGAACACCGTCCCAGACAACAGCCATCTGCACAACGAGGAAGGGAGTCTAGTCTCCAGCAGAGCAGGAAGTGAAGAGAGCGAGCAGAGGAAATAGCCGCTTTTTTAAAGGGAGAGAGACCACACCCCAATGGGCTGGTATCACAGCAGCTATTGGTTGGAGGGGCGGAAGGACCTCCTGCAATAGTTAGGTAAAAATCCATGCTGTGTAATTAAATTAAATACATACACACACACATGCACACACATGTGCACACCTACTCACACACACACACACACATACACACACAAACCCTCTTACCTAACATTGCAGAAAGCAGGTCTGTATTTGGGGTGGTTGTGGAAGAGAGAAAAGATAGAGCGGTGTAAGAAAGCAGCGGGGACTGACCAATGTGCACTTAGTCATGATTGTGGTGAGGAAATCTTGTGTACTTTGTGGTGTGTAAGTTATGCATAGTAAAGTTATAAAAAAGGAAAGAGAAAGATTGAAAACAAGAGATGAACATTTTATTTAGTAGTACTGGGTGATATCCATGAGTTGGAGAGACAATTTTAATCCATATATTCATCTTCTCCTAAGTTCTCTGTATATTTTAAATGAAAACATCATGCTAGATTTAAGTGTTCAAAATGTTTTTAATTATGGCAGTCACTCAATGCTGACGAACCTTACTGCTATTAGTAGGTAAAAGTAGCCCCATTAATTGTGACTGCTAAGAGAAGCATCTTTGCCCTGGAAGCAAGAAAACTACTAAATCAAAAAGAAGCAAGCATTGGCCTCCTGAAAAACCAAAGGTTGAAAACACTTTAGCAAAGTTTACAAAAGGACATGGGTTAAGTGGTTTATATTTTAATAATTTATCTGCTATGAATTACCTGAATGTGGCTGTCATGATTAATCAAGTTAGACCCTAGTCCTTCCATCTCCTTACTATGCATTTCATTATTTGTTAGTTTAAATTCCAGTAAGATATCAAACTAGTTTTACAGCCTTTTGGAGTTAGAGGAAAAAGTCTGTCCCTACTATCAGCCTTTTACATATGCAGTTTTTCATTACAAGTTCATGTGCAGAGGGACTGCCTCTCACTGAGGACATACACAAGCAGTAGTTGGACGCAGGCACACTTGCTAGGTGTGGTTTTCCAGAACATTTTAGTATTCTAAGGGTTGGGGCAGACCATGTAAATCAGAAAACTCATGATCAGTTTCTGTAAGTGTTGAACTATGACTTGGTAAAGTAAGTGTAGGAGATTCTCAGAGGAACTAGAACTGAAAGTAGAAAAATCTTAATTCTGCATATGTCAAAGTCAGTTGAACCAGTGTCCCCTCCCAAGAAAGGAAAAAAGAAAATAAAGCTCGATTAATGATGAACCTCAAAATTACTCAGATTAAAAAAATATTCTCTTTGGGGACCCTTTCTCAGAAAGAGGAGGGTATTAATTTCAAGATTATAGTGAATTTGGGTCAAACAGAAGAAAGTCACAAATATGCAGCAAAATATCCTCCTCAGAATTATGTATGTGCTCACAGAAAAAAAATAAAATCTACAGAGAACCAGAAAATACTTCACAGCCTGGAACACTTGTGCTAGCCATTCTCCTGATGAGAAAAAGGATTTGCCAGCCTCCCCCTAGGCCCTAGTAAGTGGAATCTATGAAAGGCTCACTTCTCCCAGCACTGCCATTAGCTTTAGAAACAGCTCTGCTCACCCTGCAGGCTTTCTAGGACCCTTGCTTTATAGAAAATGAAAGGGAATCAGTCTGTGAAGATTAATACAAATTGTAAACTCGTTTCCATAAAATAGGTGTTAATGTATTTTAAGCTTAAGAAAATGATCTCAGTGACTTTTTTTTATAAAGATACATTAAAACCTACCACTGTTGTATATGAACTACTAAAATATATATTTTCAGTGTTGGTTTGGGTGCAATCTGAAAATTGTATCTTGATGTGATTGAATAACCTTAGGTCGCTGCCTATTGGCATCAGTTGGTATCTCAGAAATCCTATTGAGAAAGCCTTGTATGGTTGTCACTGAGAGATGATGAAGCGATATGTTTTTCAAGATTGGATGAAGCAGTCAAACTGTGTACGGTGTGATCATGTACTGTATATTTTTAACATCTGGCATTTCAGAGCCAGCATGTGAAAAATACTAGCCTGTTCATAGGAGTTACCCAAATCTCATGTAATACCATATGTAAGTGGATTGTACTGATGCCATTTTAATTATCTGTTTTTTATTCTTCACACAAAAAGATTGATTTTACAGTAGGCCTTCTTAATTTACAGTTAGCTGACTGAGTGCATGCAAATTGAAATAAAACTGCAGCCCTGGGACATTCTAAAACATGACACAAGAGGTTGCCAAGGTAACCCACCAGGAGGCTGTCTTGGCATCTTCAGGAATAAAATGGAAAGAAAACATTATAATGAACAATAGGGTGTGGGGATCTTCTGGACAGGGTTAGATAATCAAAGTGTTTTGAAAAAAAAATCTGCAGCTTCTTAAAACGACTTCCAAACAAAAAGAAACAAAATATCCTTCCATTCCAAATCAGGCAGTATTTATGAACCATGAGACTGGAATGTTAAGATAATGTTCACATATTATCAAAGTGAAATAATTTACTTAAACTTCTGTAGTGTTTAGCAGCATTTGTACTTACAGAAATATAACAGATGTACAAATCATATTCAAGATGTAGAAGCAAGATTAAATTTATAATATTTTATTATTACATCAGGGAAGTTGATTAAAAAATAGTTACAAGATGCCACATCACAAGAAAAAAAATTAAGAGTGCAGGAGACACTAAGGAAACATTTCAGTTTACCATGGTGTTAATTTTGCATTTATGCCTAACACACTTCTTTCAGAATCACAGGGAGTTTTCTTGATTTAGAGGGATTGTCTTGTACTTCACATAGACGCTGTTTCAATTAAACACACTCAGAGCTCTGGTTGTTTCTTCTGAAGACTAATATTTCTCTAACACAAGGTTAGTCTATAAATAGTCGGAGTCTCCTTAGCCTGTCCTTAAGCTTTTTCCTTTCTTCTCTGTCCTTGGAGAATGAACAAGAAGCCCCAGAGCTGGTGAAAGACCTGTGTGGGAACAATTCACTCTGATGAAGTATAAATGGATGGGAAATTTCAAACAGCCCATGTCGCTCTCTCCACTGACTCGCAGTTTTAAACTTTATTAATAAAGATTCCTTTAGCAAAATAAAGAATTAAAACACATAGCATCATTTTACCTTAGATATTTGCAAATTTAATTGTTAAAAATGTACATAAAATATATTATTTGTCCCATCTGTAACATTGCCCATAGGTAGATAACTCAAATATTTGTTTGTATGTATTGGGTAGCAATAATCCAGTCATTTTAATCTTATAAATCAAAATTGAACATTTTTTAATATAATTTTTTATTGAAAAAAAATTTCCGCCTCCTCCCCACCTCCCATTTCCCTCCCCGTCTCCCTTTTCCCTCCCCCTCCTCCCTCCTCTCCGCCTTCCTCCACTCCTCTCCCCCTCCCTCTCCAGTCTGAAGGGCAGTCAGGGTTCCCTGCCCTGTGGAAAGTCCAAAGTCCTCCCCGCTCCATCCTGGTCTAGGAAGGTGAACATCCAAACTGGCTAGGCTCCCACAAAGCCAGAACATGAAGTAGGATCAAAACCCAGTGCCATTTTCCTTGGCTTCTCATCAGCCCTCATTGTCCGCCATATTCAGAGAGTCCGGTTTTATCCCATGCTTTTTCAGTCGCAGTCCAGCTGGCCTTGATTGCATATTAATTCAAAATAGCCAATGTACCTGGGGAGATTGTTCAGTGGGAAAAGTGAATGTTGAATTTTATGACGATCTGAGTTTGGAGCATCAGTAACCACACACAAGTCAGGGACTGTGCAGCTGTAACCCCTATGCTGGCCGGTGGAGACAGGTGGGTCCTGAGCTCACTGGGCAGCCTGTATAGCTAAGCAATAAGCTCTGTGTTAGTCAAGAAGTCCTACTCAGAAAAGTATGTTGGACAGTGATAGAGACAACATGCAATGTCAACCTCTAGCCTCCACATATATTTTACACATGTGCATGTACAACTGCCCACACATATATGCATATATGTACATAAGTATACTTCATAAATAAAAAATAAAAATTCCAGGTAATTTTGAAGCCAAGTTTTAGAATTGAGACATTAACAGCTGAAGAGCATTTTATGCACCACAAAAAGTTTTATAATATAAAATGACCGCAGAGAAATTATCTAAAGCTGGAAGTAGTTTCCATTAAATGCCTGATAGGTTTCATTAAGAAAATGCAGTGTATGAGTAATGCTTGCCATTGAGCAGATAACATAATCTACCTACATTTTACTCTCAAAATGTGACATCACCAACATTTCGGTGAGCAGTGTCAAAGGTCACATACTTATGATGTTAAGTTCACTTCACAAGCCAACTTGTCTTGATGAGAGTACCCTAAGGTCTTTGCAGCATGACAGATGGAAGACAAAGGAACCTGAAAGTTAACTGAAATTAGAGATCCGTGCTATTTTCTTCTTACTTGAGGGAAATAGAAAAGTAGAGCTTATAAATGTGGGGGGGCAAAGAGATAAAAATCATGGCTGTGTTCACTTGAGTTGACTCGGGTCTCTGCTGCTTAGAAATGAACTCTGGCATCCATGAATTGCCATGGTTACTGACTAATTCAAATTCCGAAACATGAGTTAAACCAAGCTTGTGTGTAATATTAGAAAACTGGTGCCGATATACTTCCATGATTTTTTTCTTCCTAAAATCTTTCTTGCAACTTTTTTCTATAGAACCCTAAGGTGAAATTCCATGGAAGACTGGGAATGATCAAGTTGCCATAAACGCTGTGTGGCCTTGATTGCAGTCTTCTCTACATAGCCTCCTGTGCAAAATTATTATAATGACATAATGTGTGCTGCTCAGCCATGTACAGTCACAGTGATACCAACTTCCCTGTAGGAAGGAGCTAATATACATAATCAAGAGATTCTGAGTCCGTCTTAGAGTTCAATTC